GTTTAAACCGAGAAATAAAACAGTGTGCTGGTCTTCAGTTACTCATAACTAAGTGCACGTAGTGCATTGTTGATTGCTATTGTACAGCGCACTTTCATTAGAATGCCTATCACAAACGAAAAAGTAACAAACCCGTGGTGTTATTGTAAAGTTTTAAACTCAATGTCCAGAGATCCCTGGTCGGTACGGAACTCACTCGTTCCGTCGTGACTGATGGTTCGAGCATGAGCCAGGCGAGCAGCGGCTCAACTCCTAGCATAAAGACATTGTCGCGTTATGTTTAACTAGTCTCATATACCTGCAAAAATGTAAAATGAGTCATAATTTGTTCTGCTGAACTAACTTCGGGAAGAAATATGTGGCTTTAAGAGACTTCCAATGACTTGCGCTTCTACAGAGGCAGAATTTTAAAGAAAAATTATAGAAGGTGTATTTTGTTACCAAATGGGTGCAGTAAATGTTTCTTTCGTTTTCGTCTTCCATAAAATATATTTGAATTTATAAAGGCAGTCAAAATCAAGGATAAAACACCTACTTGTTTAGCAGCTACCTTCAACATCCTTAACGATTTGTTAGCGATCAGGACTAAGCCCGTTAGAAAGCCGACATCATATAATGAATGAAATAACTTCTCTGGTGGACGGCAACAATGCCTGTCCCACCCCTACTCTTCGTTCTTCAGTGCCTGCGGCCCCCAACGTTTTCCTTTTGCAAAAGACTGTTCTGAGTTACTAAAATGTAATCGTTCTACCACACACTCGACCGATCACCTTGTTCGTTGTCTGGAGGAGCTTTGTAGCCGACGCCATTGTTCAAAAAAAGCTGCCCCAAGGATTTGAACGACTTCCACTCGGATATGCATACGTGTGTCAAAATTTAACGGTTGTCCCAGTGCCACCTGAACATGCCCTTTTCCCACACTCTCGAGTTACAGAGACTACGACATCAGATTTGCAAGTTGGGAGTCACGTGGTAGCTGCACAGTCATTTCGCGTTCTTAACCAGACCAATTTACTTGCTGTGTAGTTACCGCACAAGGAGACGCAGTGCAGACGACACTATTTGGGCCTGCTTGCGCCGCGGTACGGCAGTGCACTTCAATGAAAAATTTGCGGAGGAGCAGGAGAGCAGAGCCTTGTACTCGCTAAAACTTACTCTATACTAAGAACATGTAAGTGTTTTATATGTTCGCTGTGGCTTCAGGCAGCTAGGCTGGCTCTCATTTGTCGAGGCGTGAACTGTGATTATTGATCAGCACTTTGAAGATGTGGCAGTAAATATTCGTGGGCTGATCGATGTTTGTTTCTCGTTCGGTGCATTCCGCCCTTCAAAAAACCAATGCCTACAATTTGTGTTTCGCAGGTGTTTTAACTCCTAACATTTACGTAAATAATACGAATTAAATTAGTAAATTTTGGAGATGGGTTCCCCAGCTTAACCCGGCTAGCAAATTTCCTCCTCTGCCTATCCTATTTCCCCACCTCACAGAACCGTTTAAACACCGTTTTTGGAGGACAAATGCTGGGACTAGGAGTATATGATTGGGTCTACGTAAGCTACTTTGCCGTAAATATTTCTTTCGTTTACTTTTTCCATAAAATATATTTGATTTTATAAAGGCAGTCAACATCAAGGATAAAAACGCATACTACTTGAGTACCTGCATTGTACATCCTGTACGATTTGTTAGCGATCAGAACTAAGCCCGTTAGAAAGCCGACATCATATAATGAATGAAATAAATTCTCTGGTGGACGGCAACAATGCCTGTCCCACCCCTACTCTTCGTTCTTCAGTGCCTGCGGCCCCCAACGTTTTCCTTTTGCAAAAGACTGTTCTGAGTTACTAAAATGTAATCGTTCTACCACACACTCGACCGATCACCTTGTTCGTTGTCTGAAGGAGAGTTGTAGCCGACGCCCAATATGCCTTTATTCAGCGTCCTTGTTCAAGGAAAGCTGCCCCAAGGATCTGAACGACTTCCACTCAGATACGCATACGTGCGTCCAAGTGTTGACGGTTGTCCAAGTGCCACTTGAACATGCCCTTTTCCCCCACTCTCGACCGATGGAGCATAGGCCACCAGACATGACACACCTCGGGTAATGTTGCATATACAGCAATCGGAGAAAACTTGAATCGCCTGCGCTGTCCACATTTAGCAGCTGCCACCACTGTCTTATTCCCTCTCAGGTCTGGCTGGACGCAGGGAACACTAGCCGCGGCTTTGCCAGTAATCACTGCCACCTGAGGCTGCAACTTAGAATTCCATATAAAATACAACTTGAGATGCTGGCTTGATGATTGTAGCGATCCGAGTACACCGACTACGTAGGTCGCTCCAGACATCAGATTTGCTAGACATTTCCTGAGGTCTACGGCTCTAGTCATTCCTTATCTATTAGAATACCACCCTCTCCTGGAGACGTACGGGTAGGTGCGCATATCTTCTTTAAGAGGTTTATTCTTAAATAGTCGAAAATTTGCGAGGCCGAGAGTTTTATTGACACAGGCATCGTCTGAGGAATAAGTACATGCGACGCATGCTACAAAAATATGTACATCTTCAACTGTATCAACCCAGTCACTTATTGTCTGCATATCTGGTAGGCGAGGTGGGAGTCACGTGGTAGCTGCACAGTCATTTCGCGTTCTTAACCAGACCAATTTACTTGCTGTGTAGTTACCGCACAAGGAGACGCAGTGCAGACGACACTATTTGGGCCTGCTTGCGCCGCGGTACGGCAGTGCACTTCAATGAAAAATTTGCGGAGGAGCAGGAGAGCAGAGCCTTGTACTCGCTAAAACTTACTCTATACTAAGAACATGTAAGTGTTTTATATGTTCGCTGTGGCTTCAGGCAGCTAGGCTGGCTCTCATTTGTCGAGGCGTGAACTGTGATTATTGATCAGCACTTTGAAGATGTGGCAGTAAATATTCGTGGGCTGATCGATATTTGTTTCTCGTTTGGTGCATTTCGCCCTTCAAAAAACCAATGCCTACAGTTTGTGTTTCGCAGGTGTTTTAACTCCTAACATTTATGTAAATAATACAAATAAAATTTTTAAATTTTAGAGATATGTTCCCCAGCTAGCAGTACATTAAATCTTCAAATGTGCAGGGAAATCAATAGTAATTTTGCGGGGTTTATGTCAGGCCGTTTTACTCCGATGTTGTCTCCTCTATCTTGCATTGACATTTTTGTACATTCCATCCGGGGTGGTATGTCGGCTGATGCATTAATCATCAGATTGCACAGAGGATTAGTACAAATACTTATTTAGGATTCAGCAGTCAGGTTGGGATTCCGTTTTGGTCGATTCCATACAAACAGTA